TTAAATCAAATAACGCATATACAAACAACGCATATATACAAATCAATAAAATGAGTTTGTCTAGTGAAGCAAAAAAACTTCTGCGTGCAGAGCTACAACAACAGCGTCTAAAACAGGAAGTGGCCGAATATAATGAGGCAAAAAGACTTTTCAAAGGTTTAACGGATCTTGACCATAAACCTGGCCATAGGGAACATACATATTATAAATACTGGCTTGCATCCAATGGCTATACTGATAGAAATGATACTGCGCTTTTAGAGGCGTACAAACCCGAAGAGCTTTATTCTCAATATATAATTCGAGTGGCAAGAAAAGGTTATACAGTAATCGACCATCCTATCGAAGTTTATGGAATACCTGATGCCCATGAATGTATTGATGGAAACCAGCCTCTTCGCTTGATAATCGATATTGATGCAAGACAAAAACCCGATCCTACAAATGCTAAACTTCCTTCCTTAGATAGTGAAAAAATTACTCGTGAAGATTTGTTATTTCGAATTTTAGTCGCTTGTGCAGATGCATTAAGCCTTATACCAGGATGTATGCTTTCCTTAAATTCTTTCGCATTAGCAAGTTCATCGAATGCCGATAAATGCAGTTGGCATATTATTTACCCTCGTGCCCAATTCGTAGATTATAGAGAACTTAAAGGATTTACAGAAAAAGTTGTGGAATTAGTTGGGGAACCTTATTCAAAGTTCATTGATGTCGGCCTTCCCAAATCACATTTTAGTCTTCGGCTTCTTGGATCGGCAAAAGAAGGACGCATAAAAAGACCTGCCATCTCTTCTGTAAAAAAGGGATTGCAAAAGTTGGAGGATTATTTAGTTCAACCTAAAGAGATTTATTCTGTGATCTGGCCACGAACCTTTTCTTCTGAGGAGCCAGTAAAAGAGGAATTCCAACCTATCGACGATGAAAATGCCTTGGTTAAAGGGGCTAATATGGTTATTGCACAATATGGATGGCTCCAGATTGGAAGAACTGAGAAAAGGTTCATTAACTTTCAAACACAATCCGTTAAAGAATGTCCTATATGCGACGTTAAACATGAAAAAGATCAACTCTATGGATTTATTCGAAAAAATGGAGATTTTGTACTTAAGTGTTATCGCCAAAAACAATACAAGCCGGACCATAAAGGATTAAGCTTCGGTAAGGTATCAGATAAAGTTGAATCAGAAGTAAAGCCTAAGTGGGGATTAATTGAAAGATTGCCAAATGCTGTAAAACATCCACGCCCACTTGTAGAATTATCTGGAAAAAATATCAATGCCAGGGAAATGGAAAATGCTCCAGAAGCTTATCCCGATTTCTTGAATGAGGAACCCACTACATCTCTTATCCGATCACCTGTAATGACAGGAAAAACAAAAGCTTTAAGAATTATTCTCAATTCTTTAGCCAAAGAAGGGAGCAGACTGCCGTGTTTTGTTTGGGTTTCATATCGTAAGACTCTCAGTAGTGAGACTAAAGCTAAAGTTAATATATTACAAAATGCAGGATTGCGTGTATGTAATTATCAAGAAGTTGAAGGAGATTTAGCTATATGTAATTGGGATGTTATTATTGTTCAGGCTGAGAGTATACACCGTCTTTCCCTTTTTGGAGGTCGTTCTTATGTAGTTATTTTAGATGAAGTAAATGCTATTATGCGTCAAATGAATAGTGGAGTTCATGCCCGAGAATCTGAAAATGCCATGCGGGATTTGTTAAAGTCAGCTGTACATGTTCTAGCTATGGATGCTTTTGCAAATGAATCTACTTTAAACTTCTTAAGACAATATCGAGGTGAAGATATACGAGTTTTTGATAATAAGTATCAGCCACATAAAGGTAAGTCTGTAAAAATTCTTTATGACCCGGATAAAGGATCAGAAGCTATACGTAAAGGTCTTAAGTTGCTTCAAGAAGGTAAGCGTGTTGCTTTTTCAGTTACCTCATGTAAAAAAGCTAGAGCTATAGCTGTTCAAGCTTCTAAGTTATTAAAACCAGATGGTTCACACGTTTTATCACGGGTTTATTTTGGTCAAATGGATGGGAAACAGCGTCAAGAAGACTTTGCTGATATTAATGCTACTTGGAGTGGTCTTGATTGTGTGGTTTATACAAGTACTGTGGAAGCTGGTATTTCCTTTGAAATTTCTAATCATTTTGATTCAGTTATAGGAATAAGCAATATTAATACAGGAGTACATGCTGAAGCTTTTGCACAAATGTTTTATCGAGTACGTGATTGCTCACATCATACTATTTCTCTTTATAATAGTAAAAAAACTGGCATCTTCAAAGAACCGAATCGTGATCTTATTCGTGCTGAACTCTCTGCTTTGAGACCTGGAGATTTACCAACTGCTATAAAAGGACATCGTGAATGGGACAAAATTGCTGATTGTTATATTATTGACTCGTCACCAGCAGTTGAAACTTATATTGAGGTTGAATATCAGAAACGCTTATCTGCCAAATATTTTCCTGAGATTCTTTGCAGTCTCATTGCTAGTACTGGTGCAACACTCGAGTTAATTTCAGCAGAAGATACTGAAAAAGTTAAGAGGAATGTAATTTCTCATACTATTAAGAATACTGAGAAAAAAATTAAAGGTGATGATGCAGAATCAATAGCAAATGCACCTGATATTACTCCCGATGAAGCTGAAATTCTTAAGCAAAATCCTATACGCTCTTTCACTGATAATATTACTCTACAACGTCATTATTTGTGGAAAATATATGCTTCAGGCGATATCGGCGGTAAAAATGATATTCGAGACTGGGGCATGAACAATGATGATTGGATTAAACTTTGTGATAAAGATTTTGTGGAAATATACAATAATCCTGAACCTTTACAATATTTCAGAAAGTTAGTATATTTTAGAAGACAAGGTTCTAATGCGACAAATTCTATAGAAAATCTGGAAGTCAAAGAAGAAATGCAATGGGAAGATTCATACGATTCTATGGATCCATCTTCAGTCGATTTACATAAATTTTATTCAGTAAAACAATGGAAGGCGGTACATAATCTTGTTCAATCGATAGGCTTTAGAGATATAGATGATATGAATATTCTTTCTGGCGATGACGTGACAAAAGTTTTCAAACAATCACAGGAAAAAATTGTTAAAATTCGAGAAGATGCA